TTAAAATAATTTTATCTTCACTAGATATGATTAAAATGATGAAAAAGAACACACAAAAAGAAATAAAATGCGTGTTCTAGGTTCTGTTAGTTGTCACCAGTAGAAAATTTTTAAAAAGTAAAAATAAAAAAAGATTTTTCAAGTTTGTAAATATATTAGATTACTAAAGAAGCCTACGTCTTGCAAGAAAATAGTATTTCAGAATTTCTATTTCAAAATTGTGACACTTGCAATTTCTTTGTAATTCTTTGTGAAATTTACTATTTATTTCTGAATAAAAATTGTTTCTACACAAAAAAAAATTTTCAGTGTACAATTTCTCTTATTCATTCATATAAATTTTAACCTGAAATAATGCCGCCTTAAAAAAAAGGTCCACACATTATGTCAACGACAGTTGTTGTATACAATAATCATGTTTTCACAATTATGTACATACGCTGATGTTTATTTCTCACCTCGTTTTCTTAAGGGCATAATTACTCCTTTATGTCCTTGTGGGATTGTCACGCACGGAAACAGCAACACAAAAGTTTCGCCCTCATCTGCTGTCAGTGTTTTTGAGAAAGTGTCACCTGCTAAAGCAGCAAGTTCCTACTCATTTCGTTGATGTAGATGTAAAAGCGAACAGAATGGCAGCTCTCGGGGTCGTTGCTTGTTATTGTCAAATTAATCAGGAAGAGACACGCGCCGAAATATCTTGCAGAAGAAAACACATGCTGAGCGCATGACTGTCGCACATGAGAAATAAATCCATAATCCGATAGAAAGATTGAATAGTGATCGAGTGCACCTTGGTGTGTATGAGTCCATAAGAAATATCAAGACTGCTCTCCAGTGTCCATATACTCTCGGTATTGAGCTCTCTGAGGATTATTTTGCTGGAATATTCGCGCAACTACTGACTCCTTAAATGCCTTTGGTGTTTAACTACATAAACATAATTCAATCACGCTGTCCATAACACAACCCATACAGTCCTGACAAATATTAAAGGCGCAGTGACTATCTAAACTAAATCTAACCACTAGTTTTTGCCCCAAAGGGCTAAATACATCAAATCACAAAGGGTCTCCAGTGCATGGCTTGTCTTGGATTAGATTCAGTCAACATATGCTGATCAAGCATTATTTTAAATCCTTAAACTGTCAATATGGAGGTCTCGCAACAGTTTGATGAATAAATAAGCATGACATCCTGGTATCTCGTGCCCGTGTCAGTTGAACAATGCATGCTTGTAAACAGTTCTTCAAGAACGACTTGTTCTGTACATAGTGAGAGAATGAAGTTCACGTGTTTTGTGTTTTATTTTCCGATCCTTGAACAGAAAAAAACAAAGAAAATTAAAATTGAAGACTTTAACGATCATCTTGCTGTCCAGTTTCACGTGACTTCAAAATTCAGCTTCAAGACACAAGCAAAACTATCACCATACAGGCAAACTGGTGTGTGAAATCCAGATCTCGAGGTAGAGACAGAAGACAGATTTAACTAAACAAGGCATGATGTATTTCCCCATGAAACAGCAGCCTGTCGGTGCGACGCCTGTCGGAAAACACCTGCAAGTTTCATACAGCTTTCCGATAACGCATGGCTCCACAATTGTCTCTGTAATTAAGCCAATCTGAGCAAATATATCCCAAAGGTCCTCGTCAAATGTCCCGAAATGCAGTTAAGAACAACTTCACCTCCTTTCCCGTCATTTTTTCTGTGAATTTTCACGGCATCTTTTGCCAAAGCTGGTTTGCAGACTCTCTCTCCGAAAGAACCGGTTCGCGGAAAAGAACCGAACTTCCCATCACTACTCTACGGTGGGTGCAGTATCACCAGCAGCATCATCACCAATTTCGCCTTAGCAACGAGAGGGTTGACCCGCGGTGATTGACAGGGCGCGTCCACCAATGGCGTTCGTTCATTCGGTCAGTTGGCCCACGCATGGACCAATAGGAATCGCCGTATTGTTCCTGGATCTCGGGGTGAAAGTTGACTGGAACATGTGGTTAGACATGGCTGCGCCCTGCTGGCATTGAGGACCGTGACTGTTGAACAGGGGATGGAAATAATTTAGCGCTTATTTAAAAGCGCATTCGTATGTAAGTAGCAATCCTACTATGCATAAATGAGGTAGTGACCATGTGCAAATGAAGCTGTAAATAAATAGACAGTATTACGACTGTGTTTGACGTTAAGCTGCACATCAACAGGCAAAACAAACCAGCTGTCATTTCGGTTGAATGAGTTACTGCTTTGACCGTTTGCGATGCGTCTCTTGCTATGAGCGCTGCGTTTTTAAAATGCCATATAATGTCATATCAGGTTCAGCTCATAAAGAGGCGCCTTACTAAAATATGTCCTCTACAGAGGATTAATATGAATTTCATGGATATCCAGATAGCAAGCTGTATAGAATGTATGAAAATAATTAATAGTATAATAATACGTTGAGTTATTATTAATCTTATTCTGGAATGTAAATTAAACAAAAGCAAAACTCACTGGTCGATAAACCGCTGCAGATTTTCTTAAGACAAACCAACCGTTGATATTTAAACAGCCGAATTTCGCGCTTCAGGCCAGTGACGTTTACATGTACAGTAGTTGTGATAGTCTCCAGGTCACCAAAATGAAATATCAACATTTTAAGTATGTTGTCACAACGTTGTTAGAAGGTTGTCTGTCTGCTATGAATCCGTTTGTTGATATTATATCTGTATCCCCTTTTAGATCAACATGACAGACAACGGGACGGTTGTGAAAGAAACAGGCCAAGGCCATACAGTATCCAGGGCGAAGATTACTGAAATACTGAATAAGAAGTTTGAAAGGCTCTCTGATATAGACAAGTAAGTTAGGGTTTGTTTGTTTTTACATATATGTCACAACTTTGCTTCCCCCACTGCAGTTAGCTGATGAAAGTTCCCTGTTCTGACCCCAACAGAAAACTCTTTTCATATGGCCCCATATATTTGGCTGGCAACGCTGGGTTTGCTGGCTTGATTGCCAACAGCTTTTACAGACGTGTACTAAATGTCACCCAAGGACGATTTACTTCCAGTCTTCCCATGGCTGTCCTTCCCTTTCTGACAACTGCAGCACTGTACACTGCGACCGTCTCAAACCCCTTAATGTCAGGTATGGAATGGATGTAGGATTGTATGAAGATTGGTATTAAGTGGTTTCCACGTGACTCGCGTCTAAACTTCAACTTTGACCTCTTCGAAAACGTCAGCCAATCGTTATTGGTACAATCAAATGACGTTATGTGTACGCGCCAGGACGAAAATCAAAACATGATAGGCTAGATTTTGTTTAATCGACACCTCGTTTTATTTCTGATCTATGCCATTACCAGGATTTTTACGTTCTAAGCGCAAGTACATTTAATTTCGTTTTGTTAGGCGTTTATTGTACACCTTACGCTTTTTTGTTACCTTGCAACGCCCTTGAGCAAGTCACGTGAAAGCTCCTTGAGTGTTTCTGAATGTTCTGCATTGTATTGAGTAGCTACATTGTAATTGTAGGTGATCTAAACTGCCCAACCTGTACCCTGATTAGAGGGGCTTTGGTTGGTGTGGTTGGTGGTGGCATATATCCCATTTTGTTGGCCTTACCTGTCAATGCTCGTCTTGCAGCCAGGTTAGTCCACAGTGTTACTACATACTGCTTTTCTTAAAAATAGAATGTGGCAAGTTATGTATGACTGAATATAACTGATCTCCAATTGTCTTGCAGGTATAACAGTGCACCAATGCCAGAGAAGGGGAACATGATACGCTTCTGGACGAACCTCAGCAAACCCGTCGTACAGAAGATGTATGTTGTTTTACTGCTGCAGGGTTTGTTTGGATCCTACTTGAGCTCTAAGCAGTTTGACATCTACCTAAAAATGCTGAAAATATCAGATTCTGACAGCAAAGAGCTTCATGGTTAGCAGTTATTGTTGGGTATTTTGATGACAATGATCATATTGTAAATCTTATTAAAAGAAGTGAAACACACATCCAGTGCCATGACCCAGTCTTATCAGGTTTTGTTCTTGGTTTTGATGTATTTTTGCTCATATACAGGTGCATCTCAATAAATTAGAGTGTGCATTGAATTTATTTAATACACGAGTTTCACAATTTGAGTTGAATTACTGAAATAAATGAACTTTTCCACGACATTCTAATTTATTGAGATGCACCTGTATTTGTATATATTTTTTCCCCACAAATAAACGTAACTTATCAATAAATTCAACTATACCTTTGTACTCTCAACCCAAAAGTTGAAAAGGGAGAAATCTACTGGTTTCTAAAAATATCCTAAATCACAAGTTGAGGTATTTGAAAACATTTAATGTAGTTTCTTATAAGTCTCTGAATAGCATTAACTGCCTGGACGTTGTGTTACCAGATACTACAAAACATTAATTAGAGCCTTGCCTAAACCATTTGGTTTGTGTGCATGTGCGAGAAAAATAGTGGATAAAAAGTGGTGTAAACACAAATGCCTTTTGGTAATGTACAACTAATAAAATGATCAAATGGAGAACATGTGGATCAATTACCAGTTTTTGTTAGCTACTAATAATAAAAACAATGCACTGGAAAACAAGCTTATGCATTATTTACAAGCTTATTTATAACTCATTTACTGCCACAAAGAGAGCTTTTAATCCGAGCTCATTTCCAATTCCCTACCCACAACAATCAACCAAACCGTTCTGAAATGTAATCAGAGTAACACCAGCATTAGCTTTTAAATAAGATGACCAAAATTCAATTCAGTCACAGTGATTCAGAAGATCCAGGTTAAAACTATAACATTTGAGAAAATACTACAATATTTGGGTCAATGAGAACTATATCAATATGAGAGATACTGTTAACATTAAAATTTACTTTGTGGACACTAACATTTTTCAGACATTGAAGATTTCAAAAGGTAGTTTTATAATCACTTTGAAATTATCCTACAAGCTGTTACCACAGGAACAAAAAGTTTCTATATCTGATACAGCAGTGTTGGCACAAATTAAGATGTTCTATTTACACCGACAGCAGTATGGAGTACCAGGATAAGAAAAATCAACTGCAGTTATACATTTCAGAACTGCTTGGGTTGATCTGCAATGCTGGAGCCACAGTCATTAGACCTGACCAACAATGGCCCAAACAGAATAGCTGTGTGTTTGTTTTTTGGGGTGTCACTGAATTACCAGAGCCCTTAAGGAATTTTGCAGTATACATTTGTATATAACGGAGAAACCACCACCACTCTTTATCCACCTTGACGAGAAGTAAGAAAAGGCTCTTGTAGAGAGCGAAGAAAGTGCTGTCTAAAAAGAGAAGGAGAGTGTAGTTAACATCTTAATGGGACACAAAACAATTTGCATTACTCAAATGAAAATTTATTACATTTCACTTCAAAACAGCTGAAGTCTTTGGATTTCCATTACATCTCACATATAGATGATCATACTCAAAAACCATGACCCTTTGAAAATTCTGTTTTAGAACATACCATTTCTCCTGACATCTGTCAAATAAAGCCCAAGTGCTTTAACAAATCAAGATGAAACACATGGAAATGACACAGATGTAAAATGTACTGTAGTCAAACATTACTATAAACAGGAGAGTTTAAATACTCATTTAGATGCTAAACGAGCATTACAGCATCTGACGTCTTTAGGGGTGTGATAAAGAATCAGTAAAAACTGTAACTTACACGGTTTCGTGTACTACCTTTTTTTAAATTTACCAGGCCATGATGCAAGCTGCTGGTCCCGATTCTTCTGCTTTCCCCACAGCAAAATCCACTTTAGCATAAAGAAAAATAAGGGTTCTACATGAAAAACATTCTTTAGAAAAATAGCGATATTTCAGAAAGGGCTCATCTATTTTCAGCAAAATACAAACTTGCCTGGAATCTTGTATTGAAATCAACATCAAATGTATCAACACTGAATAAACAGGTACATAACAGATTAATATATGCGGAAGCCCTTTGTGAAACATCACCCATTTACATAATTCTTTTAAACTTTTTTTTTGTCCACTTAACTACTTCCCTCAAAGTCTATTTTAACTGAAATTACATACTACAATTGCGTAATCCAATAAACATCCAAAGTATGTAATTCAAAAAACAGTGCTTAATTTCTTTTTGTAGATTATCTTCAATACTTTAAACAGATACCAAATGAAAATGAAACACAGAAATTATAGATTGTTTACAGTTCATATTGTGCCGTGAACTGGCAAAAAGCATTGTCCTCATCTTAGGAGTTAACCAGTTCTGTGCAGTCTTCTACAGCTTGATCCTTACCATGGATTTCAGCAGTCAAGGATGTTCTGTGACCCACTCATCCAGCATGGCGGACCAAGCACCTAGAAGAAAACTGTCAACAAGTTTAGCAGTAACTTGTATTGAAAGCAAGTTCAAAAGACATGCCATTCAAGCTCTGCACACATTTAAACAGTTAAATCTATATTTTACAACTACTGTCGTCATGTCCCCTCATTTACATCTTGTGCAAATGTTCAGTCTCGGGAAACGTTGAAAAGGTAAAATACTTGACCCTACATTTTATGCGACAAGCTTGAACTCTCTGCACATTTGGTGCAGAATTCCACCGAGACGTGGTCTTTGTCCACATGCAGGCAGACGCCACCTGCAGTATCTTTGTCTTCCACCTTCACCCTCTTCCTCGGCATGGCATAATCGTGGTCGTTCTCGTTGGATTCCTGGAAAAGTGAGGTAGAGAATTTCATGCCGTTCACACCGCTCAATCTAGACAACAGCTGAGCCAGCATGCTCTCATTGGCCAACACGGCTCTCAAGTACCTAGTTTCATTCTCCAACTCTTCCACTCTCTTGTTGAGATTCCCGTTTTCCTGCTGGAGAACACGGTTTTCTGTCGTCAAAGAACCAACTCTCTGTTCCAAGCCACTGACGTATTCTTTCTTCTTTAATCGGTTCATCCTCGCTGCAATGGCGTTCTTGTTGATGATCCGACCAGAGACACCTTGCAGTTTTGACCTCTGGACTGCACCTCTACTGCGGGATGAGGGAACGTCAAGCAATGCGCTTTGGTCTGTCTCATCACTGGTCGTCGTCTGTGATTCAAAGTTGACGAAAGTATCAAGCACATCGTTGTCCAGGTCCCAGTTGAGCCCGGAGCCAAGCAGGTCATCCAGGCCCCAATCATTGGTGTCACTTTCTGGAGAAGTCAGCATGTTCGTTTCACTTGTATCACTGGCTTTCGAAACACTATCAATCTCTTGGGAGGTACTTGTGCATGTGATGTCAGCGTTTAGGCCGCTTCTTCCTCTTTTTCTGGTGATCATGGCTGTGTTCCTGGATATTGTGTAAACGGCATAGAAATAAAACATTAGGAAATTAGCAGAAAATAAATAACAGCAAGAATTTGGACACAAACGCGCTCACTTCAATAAAACAAACACACTAAGCACTATTCTCTTCACAAAAATACTTATTAGGATATGAGTTTAACAGAGATAGAGAAGGATACAGGATATTAATAAAATGCATATATACTCCTAGGTTAAGTGAAAGGATTTAAATATAGAATCGCGGATGCTCTATTCTATTCTGGATCTTTAGGAGACCACGGATTTAGTCTGGAGGAGCTGAACACGCAGCGCCAGGTGGAGCCTGGGGAGAAGGAATGGGATGGAGCATCGAATAATTATTTAAGTAGGAATATTTGTGTATATACGTGTGTAAGAACAGAAAGAGCAAAAACAAGGAAGAAATTGATAATAAATAAACTATGACTGCATAACAGCAAAAGTAGGTGGCGATATGCACACAGGATGTAACACGCCAAAAAACGGAAGAAGAAGTAGAACACAAAAACGAGATTAAGGAAAAGGACATTCTTAATCTCCATTCACTTTTTATTTTATATGGGGGAGACGCAATAAAAGTTAAGGGTAAATAAAGCTGCCAATCCACTGAACATTTCGCGAGGGCGAAATGATGTAAATTTTGGAGTTCCAGCTTAAAATATCGCAAAGAATAAACGACCAAACATCCAGATGCCTTCTTTCGCGGTTAGCAAACAATATTTAACAAAACACTGATATATAGGTATTTTTATAAAATACGTTTAAGTCAATGCATCCTCTTTCTTTTAATATAATAATCAATATGTAAACAACTCTTAATATCGAATATAACAACGGATTTAATATTCGCAGAGGTTTCGATTAACGTTAGCAGGCCGCAGCAACGCGCCTTGGCCTGAGTGACAAAGCAGATTCCTCACGTAAAGCAAACTACACAACAGTTATATATTTGTTTATAACCGAAGCAACTTACCTTAAATTGAGTACTGATGTCTTGTGACGTCGATTGGTTGAGGGGGAAAAAAACGAGAAAACGAAATTAACAAGAAAAACGTTATTTGAGCTCAGACGCTGCAAAGCCAAATTACAAACAACGCACTTCCAACGACACTGAGAGGAACTAAAATGGCGAGTCCTGAAATATCGCGATACTTTACGTATACGTAAGCATTGCTTCTCATAGAGGAGGAGCAAAGATTGGATGTTGTTGTTGATTTTTCCAGAATCAGTGTCTGTCACAGTCTATAGTTCCTTCCACGCAACTAAATTTACTTTGTATTTATTACTAGATGTTCAGAATTGTACATATACAAGTGATTGCAGTTGGACAATTTAAAGTTTTTATTAAAATTAGTGTCTTATAGTGCTCTTTCGTGGCAATTAACAAAATATCTTATTTGCAGCAAACTGACAGATTTTTAAACAGGCATTTTTATTTTAAGACATTAAATACACTTACTTTACAATAATAGGCATATTATATTTTTCATTCTCTTTGTTTTCCTCAACAAAAATGTCAAGAAACCATCAAGTTAGTTCCTACATTACATACTGTCTTCCTATATAATGCATTCTTCATGTTCACAATCATTTTTCATGTATTTGTTCAAAAGTGTCACCATGCCTCAGTTTCTTACTATCTAGACATTCTTGCCATGACCATCATTCTCAAAGGTACAATATCTTCCACCCATTCATTCGGAAATTGCATCATTCTCTCCCACAGGGCTGCTTCAGCAACATTAGAGTCCATCCAGTTCACCTCAGTGCCATAACTTTTTCCTGCAATAAGATAATATTGACAATCAGTCGTGACAATTTTACATTTTTTTTTTTTACGTATGGCTGTAATTCCTCTTTCAATTACCTGTTCCAGGACCCAGCCTAATACCCCCAATGAAGTGGTTGTTGAGTCTGTCGTGATCCCACACAGTAAGCTCCACACAGGCCTCTTTGAGGTCCTCTTGCCTGAAACCATCATACACCATGGTGTGGTTAAACACTGGGTTAGATGCCCTCTTCAACACTTTGGTCTTCTGACGGCTTTTTCGGCTTGTATCTGGGAGGACTGCGCTGAAAAGGCAAAATTCACACAGGATGGGCATCCCACATCTGATGATCCAACACATATACAAATGTATCCAATAAAACAGCTATAAATACCATTTCACGAAGGGGTCAATGGCAACACCTCTGGTAATAGGCAGATTCTTGCATTCTTTCACCCATATTTGCACCTCACCATTCCCCTTGTTCTTGTGACCTACAGAATTAACATGTTATCAGAAAGGAAGATGCTTCTAAAAATATATATTTAGTCAAATAAAATGTCAGCATCATAAATGTCAACAGCTTACTGTGAGAAGTCTGTGGGACAAAACGCAGAGCTACTTTAATCTCTGCACTCATTTCCACGCTGCCGACAGAATTTTTTGGGCTGGTGGGAACCTGAACCTGGGTTGATAAAGAAAGGCAAACTTTAGAGGAATTCTAACAAACATGACCTCATACAAACAGGATTTTAGATGTATTGTTCACATTTTTCTAAAAAAAAAAAAAAACATTTATTTTGCTGTCCATATTTTCAACGATATTAACCTACATACAGATTGGTCTGTAAGCCACCAGTTAAAAACTATCCTAACAGGTTATTTTGTCCAAAATAGACATGACTATTGATATCTTACCCTTCCTTTGAGTAAATATTCATTCATCTGAGTATTACTGAAATCCCATTCGGCCAAATCGAGCTCAACCTCTCCAAGAAACATGTTACGCCCAAACGTATCATTGTGCCACACAGAGGTGTTCAGCTTCTGGGTTTTCAACATCTCCATTGGAATCTTAAACTGCACAGAAATGACAACTTTGATCATCAAATTCATTTTAAAACATATCTCAAGAAGTTTAGAATTCTCATACCCGTAGGATTTCGTTGTAAGCTGGATCCAGAGTCTTCTTCCTCACACATGTTTTTTTCTTTCCATATTTTGCTTTGTCAGGTAACAAGTAACATTTAACATACCTGAAGTTCAATCAGACAAAGCACATATATTATTGTTTATCCATCTTGAGAGAATTTATATTCTCCTGATCAGAAATATTAGTTCACTTACGGATCAGATCGGTTCCTTTTAACATCCGCCACAGCGAGGTCCTTGCACTGCACAACAAAGATGTGGAACTCTCCCAGTTTTTGCACGTAGTGAATGGCAAACTGGATCGTGCCTTTGACCTCCACATTACCAAACTCACTACTGTAGATGCTCATTACACTACCAGTGACCTATACATACCCCATAAAACACAGATCCGTACAGAAATCTTTTTATAATAGCATGTTATCATAGTGTGAAAAAAAAAATAGATTCATCTGTTCATTTGCATTATATTTGAGCAAAAATAGTTCTATTCAGAATCACTGGGTTGTGTTAAAAACGGGATACATACAGAGGACATGGAGGCCACTTCAGAGCAAGTGCTAAAATTAGAAGGAGTGTTGCATGTTCTCAGTCTGTCATAGTGGAAACTGCTCACTGAGGCACAGTCACTGTTTCTGCAGGCCATCTATTAGTCACATGCACAAACAACATGAGGTTGTTAGCATTTATGCAGGTTAATAAAGGCAGCAAATGTTGGTGTTTGGTGATAGGTTAAAACATAAAAATAACACTTTTTAGAACTAATCTAGGGTGGAGGCTGTTATTCAACATTAGCATTAAAGAGGCTCATGGGTTTTGGTTTGTATTTTACCTCTTGTTGCATGAATGCAGGCACAGACATACTCATCATCTTCACCTGTTCTGGGTCGGAGAAGGACGTTTTGGTGTTGGAAGTGACTGCAGACACTGAGACAAAGGAAACAGTCATTTAGTGGATGCCCATTATGGATGCAGACAGAGATTAAATGAATATTGAGTTTTGTTTTTTGTTTAGTGGAAATAACTAATTGTGAAGAGTTTGTGTCTAGTCTAGAGTTGTTCATTTTGAAGAGCACATTTTATATGAAGAATTGATTTAGTTACTCCATCTACCTCACCATTAGATGCATGTTTTGGGTGGTACGGAATGTAAACCACTTTAATTGTTGCCTTTTACTTTACGTTACGTTACTTTAATAATGTAAATGTATAATACTCAATGAACATTAGTTTAAAAGCTATAGCAGAGGCTGATATCAAAATCATTTAAAAGTCATTAAAAGACTATTTGAAATGTAGTTACTTTATTACTGATTTATTATTATTACGGTAATATATTTCTTAAAAAAGACAAATATTTACCATTTTCCATACTCAGCCCAATGTCACTCCTTCGATCAGTCTTCCATCTCTCTTCTTGGTTCAGATGACAAAGTATTGTTAAATAAAGATTTAAACAAAAACAAAAGGTTAGTAAAATGCAGTACAGCATAAAAAAATGACCGAGAAACCTGGGTATACTATCTTTTAATTACACTAGACACATTGGGAGTTCTAAACAAATGTCCAGCAGAGGGCGAAAAAGACTGCAACAGGTCTGTAAAAGCCATGATCCTCAAAGACCAAAACATTTTTGACTTTATCTTGAATAAGGTCTTAACGGGGTCATATGATGCGATTTCAATTTTTCCTTTCTCTTTGGAGTGTTACAAGCTCTTGGTGCATAAAGAAGATCTGTAAAGTTGCAAAGACTAAAGTCTCAAATCCAAAGAGATATTCTTTATCTAAATCAGCATACTATCATCTCAAAAACATTGCAAGAATTAGATGTTTTGTTTCCAGTCAAGACTTGGAGAAACTTCCCACATAGCAATTTTTCTCTGGCCCAGCTCCGGCCCACACAACAAGCTTTTGCTTGGCCCACATACCGCAATGTATTACGGTACTAGTGTGGACCAGGTCTGGATTCCAGACAAGGGCCACACATGGGCCATTATTGGCCCAAGTCTCAGCCAAGTTAATTACCCATAACTGGCCCTGAATTGGGCCAGATCAAAATGTAACAATGGAACCAAAACACAACCTTAAGTAAACCATATCAACACCAATCTTTAACCAGAAAGACCAAAACTGAGCCACACCTGAGCCAGATCCAGGTGAACTAAATCTGGCAGCCAAAATATGGGCCATGACAGATCCATATCTCAGCCACCTGTATGACCATAGCTGGCCCTATTCTGATCCTATACGCTGGACCAGATGGGTTCCACATGTCAGCCTCAACAAAACCATAACCAAGCCACTTGATACACACCCCTCCCAGATGAATAGTCACAACAACGACAGTATTCTGAACAAATATTTAATCATGTTTAATCAGCAAACCAAGTTGAATGAATCTCACACCTAACATGCTTATTTGTTTTGCTTGGGCAGTGTTCTCACCCTGTTGAAGTATGGCAGTGTGAATTGGCTTTTAGGTGCTTTGGAAAACAAAACAAAAAGCAGTAAATATATATA